TGATGCAGTACTGCGATGGATTAGCTGCAAAAATTTCATAGAGGTATGAATTGTTGCATAATTCTATAATCATTGAATAAACCATTGTAGATTTTCCCGTTCTTTTATAACATATATTTTTTTGCAATTTATACAATTTAGTATTAATTTTTTTTTTTTTAAGTAAAAGAATTTAATAATTTCAAGTGATAATGTACGCATTTATCAAATTATACTTTTTTACTCCTTCTTTCTACAGTATGTTATAGGATTTACATAAGGAACCACTAGGATGGCGTAGATTCACGCTTCTTACATTGCCAAAAAGTTACGATGACTTATTTGCTCGATTTTTCGGAGTTCCTTGCATAGCATGTGGATTAGTCCCTCGAATGCCATTTATTTGTCTTCTTTGTGGTCAACTCTCATGCTTGGATAGTTGTTGCACAACATCTGCCACTGAAACTATTTCTGCAAATGAAGTGGAACGAGTAATCATTTTACATTTTTAAATGAATAATTTTAAAATCGTAATCTATAGATTGATTTATAAGCAAATTTTAATTATATAACGAGAGTTTTCTTTGAGAAAAAAGAATGTTGTTTTGCAAAGAAATACTTTATCCGTTGTTGTAAGGAAAAAAAGAAGCACTAATCATTATATATCTTATTATTTTCTTTTTTTATCAAAAGTATATAAATACTATGAATAGGATAATATTTTATGTCATTTATATACTGTTAGAAACTTCCAAGAGAAAATCAATTTTTCTGTTGGAAATTAGAATAATATCTGTATAATAATATAAAATATTTGTGGCAGATTTTTTGTTCAACAATAATTTTACTCAATTTTAGCACGCACTAATTTGTAGTAGCGGTGTGGGATGTTTTCTATCATTGAATACCTCACTGATTGTGATAGTTTGTAATCGAAAGGCAGCACTTTGGGGTTCGGTTTATTTGGATGCTCATGGAGAGGAAGACCGTAATTTAAGGTTCTTTTCTGTTATGAAACTTTAATATTTTTTTTTCATTCTTTTTAAAAAATACAGAAATTCTTATTTTCTCTTTTTTTTAGACGAGGTAAACCGCTATTTTTATCGAAACGTCGTATTGAAAAGTTAACTGCAGATTGGATGATGCAGTCATTTGAACATTTAATCGTGAATTTTTTCAATTTTGATGATCTAATATCTTATCTTCGTGATGCTCATTACATGCTTCAATAGAAAGTGATTAGCACTGCATCATTTATGTTTGAGTTAATGATGATTTATCATGAGAATTTTAGATAGTCTTTGAGATAATCCTTAGAATTCTATTTCTTCAATATGACCATTTATTTCTCTTGATCGCTTTGTAATTGTGTTATTTTAACTCATAAGTATTAAATAATGTTAGAAAATCCTGAATCGCTTCCTAAAAGATTTTATTTTTTGCTTTTTGAATTAGTTGTTGAAGAAATTTTAAGCGTTTGGAAATGAGAAACGATTGTAAGATTTGCAATCGTATGTTCGTTTTTTGTGTTTCTATTTTAAAAGCTGAATATGTTAAATATAAGCCTCACATAAATCATGGAAATAAACATATTGAATAAACTGATATATTTTTAGTTGGAACATAACTTCAATCTTTGGTTTCGGGATTACTATAAAACATTTTGCCTTTCCATATACAAATTGTATTTATTCAACTTTAAATGCATAAGGTATTAATTTATAAATTAGCGTTCAACCACAATGTTTTGTTTTTTTTTTTAATTTATTTTCCAAACCATGGCTAGCTGATTTCCTTTTTTCTGCTTAATATTTGGATTTTATGAGTTTTTATTATTTTGAAATTTCTTTTATCCGGTGTTCTTTGTTCTTTTTATTGGTTAGCTTCATTGAATTTTTTTTATCTTTGTGTAGAAAAAGATAAATGTTCTTATAATCTAAATATCGCAATATTTTAAGGAATGGATAAATTTGCTAAATGTTTTAAGAAGTTTGCTTAATTGATAAACATTTGATTTGCATGGAGTTATGCAGTAAATAAATCTCAGGCAAATAAGGAGAAACAATAATGTCATTGCTGAGCTATATATTACATAAAACAATCTATAATTTATATATATTATATTTGTTAGTGATAAATTTTCATATTTCTTACCTACACGCAAAAAAAAATTCCTAATTTATACTACAAAAATTCGTTTTTAGAAGGATCAATGTTTACCTGTAGATCTTATTAGATTATGATGTAAATTGGTGGAAGAATTTTTACTGAAATTTTTATTTCGCTATAAAAATTTGATTAACATAGTAGTAATGATGCCTAATACAGAAATATTTAATATTTTCTTTGTAAACTGTTATGCTTAAAATTATCTAAGAAATGTTCCATCAGTGATTTTTTTGCACAGTTATTTGATCATAACATAAATATCCTTTAGGTTTAGTTTTAATGCTATTATTTAAACTGTTTATGATGCACTACTTAATTAGATAATTGATTATTTTAACATTTTTTTTTTTAAATAATTAGTGTTTAAACCTATTTTGACAGTTAGTACTTAAAGAGATATTTTAAATTGTTTTTCTTTTTTACTGCTATTAATTAGCTATAAATTATAATCAATTAACTGATCAATTCATCAGCTAATTAAAATGGCGATGAGTCCTAAACACAGTCAGCAAAAACTCTCTAAAATCAAATGAAGTAAAAATTCCAATGAACGATTGTCAGACATGTTATGTTCTACCTACTGTCTTCATCAGATGCACCTCAGAATTCAAAATTTAAATTTGATATAAAATTTAATTTTAATTCTTAAATTGAATTAAAACCATTATTAATTGAAAGTTTCATTAATTTTGCAGACGAATTTTAGCGCAAAACATAAATACAAAAGCTTATTTTAATATTTCAACTATGAAATGACAACACCATATATGATCAGCTCTAACGCAATGCATACAGCATAGTCAATTAAGTATAAAATATTGCTATTTTTAGTAGTTTTGACACTTAATTATAATAAAAATTGATAATATAATACCAATTGCCTTGTTTAATGTACGAAAATTATTACAAATTTTAAAATTTTTAAAAAATTCAAAATTTAAAAAAAAAATTTAATTTTAATTGTAAAAATGGATTAAAACCGTGACAAGTTAAAAATCTAATTAATTTCACTTCTCTAATAATAAAAAAAACTTACTTATTAAAGTTTATTTTCTTATTTATGTTGTCAATTGACCACACCGTAAGCGACCGGTACCTATGCGATGCACAAAATTAGTCAATTGAGTTCAAAATAACTAATTTTTATAATGAAATGATATTTTTTAATAGTTTTAACATTTAATTAAAGTAAAGATTGATAAAACTAGAATTTATTTGCCTGTCCAAATATACAAAAACTCTTGCAAATTATAAAATTTTCACCAAAATCAATTTTTAGAATTGAAATAAAACTTAAGCCTAAGCCTAAGTATACACTAAGCCTAAGCCTAAGTATACCCTAAGCCTAAGCCTAAGTGTACACTAAGCCTAAGCCTAAGCATTATTTTATTATTTAATTATTTAAGATGTCAAATGGCCACAATGTTCTCGCACTATACGTATATAATAATCAATTTTTTTTTATTAAATGATGTTTTTTAATAGTTTTAACATCCTTTAAAATTTAATTTTGATCATAGTAAGACTTCTTACCTAGTTTAATACATTTACAAATTATGGTATTTTTATAAATGGGTTATTTAAATTTGAAATATAAATTAATTTTAATTGTAAGAATGAACTAGAATCGTGAAAAATTAGAAATTTAATTAATTTTGCTGATGAATTTTTGCGAAAAGTTAATTACAAAAGCGTATTTTAATATTTAAACATCAAAATGACCATACCATATATGACCAGCTCTAACGCAATGCATACAGCATAGTCAATTAAGTATGAAATATTGCTATTTTTAGCAGTTTTGACACTTAATTAAAATTGAAATTGATAATTTAGAACCAATTTCCTTGTTTAATGTACGAAAACTATTACAAATTTTAAAATTTTTAAAAAATTCAAAATTTTAATTTGAAATAAAATTTAATTTTAATTCTTAGATTGAATTAAAACCATGATTAATTGAAAGTTTTATTAATTTTGCTGATGAATTTTTAAATCCCTGGAAAGCCTTTTTGTATTTACCATTGTTTTATGTGAAAAATTTCGCTGTTTAAATCTGTATTAAATTAAGCTTTTAAATTTTAATAATAACATATATAGTATAGTTAGTATATGCAACTGCAAAAGAGTAGTATAAAACCATAAAAATATGGTATGGAATTTATCATTAATTAAAGTTATTGCTACCAAATGAATAATGTATAAACTAGTAGTTCCGAAAACGAAAAAAAAAATTGATAGTATTACATGATGGATGATGAATTAAGCGAAACAATATCGTAAAAAACTGTGGACTTAATTATTTAAACTATATTATCAAATAACTTACACGTAACTTTTTCGCAACCATATTTATAACATGATAATATGCAAATAATTAATGCTTGAAATGAAAAAAAAATTTTTTTTAATAATTAAAATTAACAAAAAATTAAATTTTATCTAGTTATAATTTAATCCATAGCTTTTGCAATTTGCTTCCTTTTCCTGCAGATGTTAGTGAACTATTAACAGTTATTGATATTGATAATAATGCTTCATCTCTTAAATGTCTTTGGAAAGTTGAATAAATATATTTAACAATTAATCGAAATTGCATAATGAATTAATAATGATGAATTAAGCAAAATAATATCGATAAAAATTTTGCACTTATTTATTTAAGCCGTTAGAAAGAAACATATAATCAGCTGCTAATTTAGCTGGTTGAAAATATACGGTAAATTCTGAAATTTAAGAATAGTCTAAAAAAATTGAATTCTCGATTTATAATGCTTTATTAGCATAGCAATTTATTCAAACTTTATGTTTCAAGTAAAATATTTTAAGTTTGTAGATGCATTCTGATAAAATCATAGATTTAAACAATGATTATATTTTTTTTTGACATGTTGATCTTTGAAATGCTGATCTTTTAACTCCACGAATTGATCGTTTAAATGTTGATGTCTTAACTGGAAGAAATGATGTTTTAAAATTCTACGAGCTCGATTGTTGCAGAGGAAATAAATAGTGGGTAATGCAGCATAAATGAAAATAATATAACAATTAATGAAAATTCTTAATGGAATATGAGCTCCTTCACCAAATATTTTAATTATAAGCGGTGGCAAAAGATAAACAATAATAAGCTTGATTTCAAATACGCCACAGGTCAGTGCTGCTTGAACTAGCATGGATCGCTCATAAATATTATTTCTTGCCATATTCAGTTTACGTTTGATTGACATTGAGCTATCTAAATAAAAAATAAATAAAATGATCAGTAGAGAAGTAAAGAAATAATTGAGAATTTTGAAGAATGTTCTCTTTTAAAACAAAAATTATTTGAAAACTGTTATTTGGAATAGTTAATAAATGCGATAATTCATTATGAAAAATAAATACGATAATTCATTATGCAAGAAATAATAATAGTTGAAACAATAATAATAATAATAATAATAATAAATAATTGTTATCAATAATGGTTAATAATGCTTAGATTTTCGGACAGTAAATGTTTCTAATATTGTTGGAAAAACCGATAAAATTGTATTAAAACTAAAGATTGTCTCACACGAAAATTTCTCAAACAAATGTCCCATTATCATGCAAAGTTTGTTAGCAAAGAATGCATGTTGGAATTTTTGCCATCAATTAGATCGTTTACAGTTATTAGCTCCTTATTTAGTTGACCTCTTTTGTTTAATCTCTTTCATTGTTTATCGACGAATTAGGAATTCATAAGCATTACATCAGCATTTTATTTAGCTGACTTACTTTGAGATGTTGTAAATATACGTATTATTATAAAATAACCTTTATCCGAATAAAACAAAAATTAATCAAAGCAAAAACTATTATGAATCTAAAATCTACTCGAATCAGATAGACCCTACCTCATAACAAATACAGTAATATATATATATATGCGTATCCTGAAGATTCTTTTCTGTCATCATACAATGGTACTATGTCCTCTCATTCTTTAAAGCTTACGATCCTATCCATCAAATTCATTTTATATAATCCTTTGGATTTGTTCGCTCGGTTAGTTGGAAAATCTGACGTGATTTTCGCTTTCCTTCGTGTTAAAATTGTAATTGCTGAGTTGTATTAACTATTATGTCAGAATAAAAATTTAATTACTTAAGCTGTCAAAAAGAAATTGACAACAATAATGTAATAATAATAAAAATAATAATTGTAATTGTAATAATATTTATCATCATAATTATTAAAATTAATAATAATAATTAGAATTGATAATAATAGGAATAATAATTGAAACTACATAATAATAAGTGGTGATAACAACAAATAATGATACTGATAATGATAATAGTAGTGATAATAACAATAATAAATGATAAATAATAGTGGCAAATGATTATAAGTAGTAATAGTGATAATGGTATTTGTTAATGGTTATTTTTGATAATAATGAATGATAATAATTGTAGCAACAATGATGATGACATTAGCAATAATAATAATAATAGTAATAATATTATCACACTAACTTTGATTATGCTGAATCTTTAATATAGGCTGACGTTTACGACGTATATTATAGAACATTGCAATGTACATAATAAACATTACAATGGGTGACACTGATGACCATATGTAATGAATACTGGAAATAAGTGAAATAATTTTTAAATGTATATTTAATGTAATAATAAAAGGACATTCACCTGCTATAATATTAAAATTTTTTGATTATTACTAAATTTCATGAAATATCTCGAAAATTAATTGTTATTTATTGGAGTAATGTGAATGTAAAGACACATTTTTCGAAGCCTTAACAGTCATTTGAAATTTTCATATTTGTTAAAAGTGAAAGAATAAAATAACACATAAATTGGACCTTGTAAATATTGACTTTGGCCGTTTTGTGCAATCTCTTATCCAGTGCAAGTCCGAGACGTGAAAACTTCTGATGCAGAAATAATAGTCAATAGTTGAAAATGCTGCAAATTTAAGTTTTAACTTAAATAATAAATGAATAAATGATACAATTTAGATTTGCCTAACGCGAAATTTATTGATAGTAAAGTGTTAAGAATAGATAAAAATGGACAAGTTCTAATATATATGAAATAAACTACAAATAATGAAAATATAAATGTTTGGGGCCTAATATTTCGACTACTAATTTTTCCAAAACTCAATGCCAGTTATTGTATTATTAGAAATTTATCATTATTACAAAAAAAAATTAAGAAATGTTAACGAATCCTATCTAAAGTTAGAAATATTAGGCGTTAGAAATCACGAAGCTAGCAATACATACCCAATGTTAGCAGCCATATAAAAATAATTAAGAAATATAATTTTGCTGATTCGAAAAGTATATTGCACTTCGGTAAAATTATCACCACAAAACGATTCACTGTTAGTAGAAACGAAAAATTAAGTAACGCGAAGAGTGAAAAATTATTAAAAGATGATAATGTATGATTAATCCATATTGTTTGATTCACTGTAAATAAAATTATTTTCTGCAAAATGAAAATATTTGAAGTATTACAATAGAATTAGTTTAATCCTAGTAAATTATAAAACAGTTTTTCGTTGATAAAAAAAACATTTCAGCATATTTTATTCAAGAAAGTTAGTTCACTGATTTTTATGGATTTATACCACAGTAATTGAATATTAATGAAATTTAAACATATTTTGTAACAGAAGAATTATTCAGACAATGAACATTCATATTCTGTTCATTAAGGAACAATGGTGGCAATTTATTAAATTTGATCATTTTAAATTTGATCAAATGCTTCATGAAGACTACTTGTCGTTTCTCTTCTTCTAAATAATTATTAATGAATGAATGTTAGCAAAGAGATAATAAATTAAGCGAATACAAATAAAACAAACCGTATGAATTATTTTTAGCTTGTAGCATCTCCGGCAAAACAACAATCACTTGAGGGAGAAGAGCCATAAAATTGCAAATAATTAATTGTGATGTGATAAGAATAAATTCACGACTGTAATGATTATATTCTCTTTTACAGAATAATACAATTGCCATTAATGTATTACTAATAATACCATAAAATAAGAGAATGGTAAAAAGTAGAGATGCAGTGTATTTTATGATCTTTTGATTCTCGTCTCTTATATCACTGGAAATTGTCGTATTTCCTGATCGATTGATAAGGGATATTATCAGAAATAACACAGTTATATAGTGAGAAGGAGCCATTTTATAAATCAGCTATCTTCCTGTCAAGAAAGAAATAGTTTCACAAAAAAATTATATATATAATCACAAATTTTTAGCATAGTGACAAGAAAAGAATTTCAGTTGATTAAAATATAAAAAGAAATTAAGAATTGACAGGAATCAACAATGAAATTGTAATAATAATTTTTTTTCTTAAAAAAAGTCAAATTTGTAATTTGACTACGAAATGAATTATTTTTACTTACTTTGCAATTGTCATTGAAATTGCTATTAAAAATGCCAAGAATATTGTCATCGTTTTCATATATTGTCTTACTATTACTAAATATTTTTAATATGTTCCCTCAATAATACGACCAGTTTATTACTAATAAAACCGTAGAACAAAAAGACAGTAAAAAAAGCTACGTATTTAATAGCTTTTTGATTCTCGTCTCTTACGTCAGACACACGTGTCGTATTTACTTTTTGATAAGTTAAGGATAATATCAGAACTAATATGATAATGCAGTAAGAACTAGGAATCATTTTATTAATCGTTAATCATTGTGTTTTAAGGAGGAAAGAAATTCAGCTGGTTGAAATGCAAACTGCCAAGTTTCGCAAGTTTAAATTCTGAAATAGTAAATGTGGTCAATAGACGATATAAGCAAAATAAACTGAAGAGAAGTAGTCAATTGCAATACAAAAGAGGTAATTAACTTGAAGTTTAAAATGATATATTTAAAAATATTTTTAGTGATATATTTAAGAAGCGAAATTTAACTGATTTATAATTTGAAACCACTCCTGAAACATAGTGATTACTTGATAAAGCATGCAGTGAAAATTTTTCTTCATGCTTTACAACTATCACGGAAACTATTAATATTAATATCGCTACCGTTGTCATAGGATCAAATACTTGGATTGATCATTTCTGAGCTTTACTTGCAAATTAAGAATTAATTTTGTGCACCAGCTAATTTAGTTTTAACGGTAATCTGTTTTCTGCTCAGAAGCAATCAGCTAATTAAGACAATATAAGTAAGCTAAATTAAAAACAAGTAGCCAATTACGGTGCAAAAGAGGTAATTAACTTGAAGCTCAAAATGATATGTTTGAAAACATTTTTGGTAATATTTTTAAGAATAAAAATTCAACTGATTAATAATTTGAAACCAATTGTTTCAAGTATAGTGATTTTCTGATAAAGCATGTAGTGAAATTTTCTGTCCATAATTTTAATCTTTTAATCAAAATATGACTCTCTTCATACTTCTGACATATATCCATAAGAACTAATTCATGTTTTCACGAAAACTTATATCATTGAAAAAATATTAATTCAACTTAGTCATCCTTAATCTTTGTAAACATTTTTTTACTTTTTTTAAAGACATTGTATTTATTATGATTATTAACCTTAAATTAAGTTGAACTGTTTATATTTCAGATAATTAGATAATGGATCAGTGACATTGAATAAAAATTAAACTGGCAAAACTGCTTTAAAGTTGGATTATTGTAAGTTTTGAAATAATTCATGGATTTAATCTGATTTTATTGCCTCTTCTCAAGACTTTTCATATATTATGATAATCAATCGTCCTAATAATTCCACAAGGAGATTTAAATAGAATTTAGCAAAATAATTGATAATTCTCACTAATATAATGAAAGTTTTCTAATGTTCGAAAAAGCGTTAAATCATTTTTTTTATAAGTCAAATTGTTATCATTGGTATATTTCAAACATTTCTACACACCAAATGAATAAAAATTGGAGTAATGGAAGTGTCGTCACAAATTTCAAAATGATGTATGACTCTAATTTGATTTTAATTTGCATCGATGCTATTCTGTTTTTGCACTTTCTATTAGCATTTTTAATTTTATCTGAGAAATGAGTTGAGAAATTTTGATTGAAAATGCACTTTTGAGAACTTACAAAAGCATAGATTGACAAATTTTCAATTATATTCAAGAAACAACACTACCGGTAGTGTATTTAATCAATTTAAATTTGTAGAAAATCTGATTCTCACTGAAGTTGTATACCCATTATTACTCTTTTATTTGTCCACTTATTCTGCTAGAAATGGAGATGCGACCAATATGTTTGACATAAGAGACCTGAATCATAGAACTACAAAATATGCAACAGTTCTAAGTTTTCTTGCTCATAGTGATACAATTATTGAAAGGATATATCAGGAAGATTCAAGATAAGATTTAATATTATTGTATAATATTTGAAAGGTTCAATAGTGGTAGAGCAGTAGATTTCAGTTATTTTAATTTTCATCGCAATTAGCTAATTTCTCTTCAATTTATTTTGCTTTATATATCGCATTTAGTTCATTATTTCTGAGACATTTGAGTAAGAAACGAAGAGAAATTGCCGTATCAATTGAATTAGCTAACTGAGTAAAAGTCAATTTATGATTCGCAAATTGGATTCAGAAATTGGATTCAGAAAATATTACTTCATTTGATTATATGAATTAAGAAGACGACGATATTTTTATAAGCAATTTCCATGACAGTTGCAAAAGAAGTAGATAACTCATTTCATGGTCAAATTGTAATCGCTTTTTAAATATTATTACATTTTCATTGTCGGCTATTTTCTTTTGGAATTCGAATTCTTAATTCTTGTCAATTTATATTTCGATAGAAAAAAGGACTGTCACTTAACAAAATGACTTATTCATACTGTATAATTATATTATTTCTGATATTATCCTCATTCTGTTTGGAAGAAAATGCGACAGTTGTCACCGACATAAGAAACAAAGACTACGAAGTTGCAAAATACATAGCAGTTCTGTTCATTATTATACTCCTACTCTACGGTATTATAAGTAATACACTTTTGGCAACCGTATTGTTCTGTAAGGATCGGAATAATCATTACAGTCGTGATTTTACTCTTATTGTATTACAAGTGATTATTTCTAATTTCACGGCTTTTCTCCCACAAATACTTGTTGTGTTGCCCGAAATATTTAAAACAAAAAATAATTCATACTGTAAGTTGTTTTAAGTTATTATTTTAAAAGAGTCATTTTGATACAAAAATTATTTGTTTAATAACTAATTTGTTTAAATTTCAGCAAATGAAACGACGTGGATTAATCGCGCATTCTCGACTTCCAATACTTTTTCACTCTTTTCCATACTTCATTTTTCACTTTTGTTGACGCTGAATCGTTTTGTGGCACTAATTTTACCAAAATACTACGCTTTTTTCGAATCAGCAAAGTTGTATTTTCTAATTGCTTTTGTGTGGTTATCAGTTTTAGGTATGAATCATTGATTTCCCTCAAATAATAATAAAAATGATTTCCAGTTATGCCATTATTATTTGTAGAGATTCTGGGCATCCAATTTCATCGAAGTTAACTTACATCTGAATTTCTTGAATTTTTGTTAATATTTGGTGCTAATTTTCAGCGATCACATCTGCCGATTTTTATTATTGTACCAGAAGATTCCTTGTGTGGAATCTCAGTTGGGAAGCAAATTGTGCAAAGTCAAGCGGAATAAGCCAGACTTGGTGGAGGTCATTATTCAAAACTCTTTTTTTTAATTTTGAGCAATTCTTTAATTAATTAAACCACTAAATTGTCAATTTTTTCATGCAAACTTCTTCATTCTTCGTCTTTAATATATTTAATATTTGCTAACACAAAAAATTTTATACTGTAATAGCCAATGTCTTTTCATTTGTTAGCCACTACAGAAAATTCTAGATGGATATTAATATATTTTAGGATATCTTACCGTTGGGCATTACTTATACCTAATATAATGTTCGCTATGTATATCGCCATACTCTACAGCATACGTCGTAGGCGTCATTTTGTAATGTATGGTAACAATGGAAAACAACGTTTGTGCTACTTAATTATTTGTTTATATTATGAGTAATTAATAAAATTTACTGGTATATTCTAAATTATTAAATTTTTTAAATTCCAAAGTTTTCATTCTCAAATCTTTAAAAAGTACAATTCAGAATACTCTCCCAGAGATTTTAAGCTTGTTGTTTTAGAAGCGATACGATAATCAAACTGAAAGTATTAAATGCATCAAAAACAAATAGAAATGTTTAAAGCAAAAAAAAAAAAAAATAGGAAACTTATTTAATTCATTCAAAACTGTAAAAGTGAATTTTAAAAAAAAAAATAAGAAAGAAGTTTTTGAATCGAAACATATAAATATAAAATAAAACTGCATGAGCATTGGAAAAGCAACGAAATCATCGAGAATTTATTCAATCTATAAACCGATAAATCATTTCTATGATTCAATTTCCTTCAAGAGATCGAGATCAGATAAGCTTGCATCACTGTTCGAGATCAGGTAAGCTTGCATCATTGTTTGCATATGTTAATTACGAATAAATTTTTTATTCATGTTCATCTTTAATAATAAACATTTTTTAAAGTCTTTTAAATAATGGAAATACCGGAAATGGTTTCAATAACAATTAAACGTCCAGGAACAGTTGAAATCTTTGGCTTTTGCTTGCTAATGGATCATTACGATGTTTTTAGATAAAGTGACCGGTCAACATGTTTCTGGACAGAGTTAAGATCAAGCTAATTCGAGAAGAAAAAAGCCAGCAACATAATTCTTCGAAATGAGTATTGATAAAATGATGTAATAATATTAGCATAAATGAGTCATTTATGATAATATCACTTGGAATATTGTAAAAAATTAACCTAAATTTGTTAATGTTTTATGTTCATAAATATTACATAAATGAAATTTTAAGTTATCTTTGCTATTGATAAAAGCAAACAATAATTTCTTCGATTCAGACATAATTTCGCTTTCATTAAACAATTCTAGTAAATTTAATGATAAACAAATACTTGATTAGAGATGCTTTTTTGTTGTGTAACAATTACTTTTGCTTTACATTGTGAGGGTTATCAGTGAATTCTTCATTTAAACTTTCTTGAAATGCAGTACCTTTCACAATTAATGCAAAGCATTACGCTGACAGATTACATTTAAGGCCTCTATTCCATAATATCCAAATTTTGATGCATATTTATCAAAAGTATCATAAAATTTGAATTAATTTTAACTGTAAAGTCTGTGAATTTGTTAATTGTGATAACAGATTTTTTGTAAAATGTAGAAAATGAATTAGCACAAAATACAACCTTTTCTGTTTACACTTTTCATTTCATCGCTTTATTCATTTATTTCAGTTCCAAATTAAAGCGATTGTATTATTTACAACCAGCAATATGCCTTCTTCAAGATAAGAGACATTTTAATATGAGTTTAGTTGACAGAAATTAAATAATAATCAACTTTTAAATATCAATATGAGCATTAGAAGTTAGAAATTCATGTAACTCTGACGTGTTATATCCATTATCAGAAAATTATTTAAACAACAAATATTGTCTTTTATTTATTTATATAATTGCTGAATAGTGAAAATATTTCAAAATAAACTTAGTGTTATTATATAAATAAGCGATATTGATTCTTTTTTGAGGTACATACTCACATCGAGAAATATTGAATGTAAGAAGTTTTCTTTCAAAATTATTTTTAATACTTTGCAGAAATATCTCTATGATCTCCAAAGCAGTGCATTTGAATACCTAAATTATTCGTTTATTGATAGTACTTAGAAAAGAAGATAATACTTACAAAATAATATCATACATAGAGTCAAGAAATTGATTCAAGTATAGAACAACCGTCTTTTTACTCTCATAAACATCTGAAACTTGTTCAAAAAACTGACGGAGCACTTTTAAACAAGGACTTAAATTCATTATGTACTCTATCTTTATTTGGTTACTTGATTCGTGAGAATCGTACGAAATCGAACAGTACCTACCCTATCAACCTTCAGAAATAAATAGACATACTTACGGGCATGTTTGTTAGTTGCGAAAAGTGTTATGGGTAATACAGTACGACCTAAAATCAGAAATGAATTGATGAAAATATTCACTGGAATTATGATTTCTTGACCGAAAATTTTTAGCAGAAGTTTTGGTAGAAAATTGATTAATATGATTCCAATTATGAATACACCACAGGTCAGTGCTGCTTGAATTAACACCGATCGTTCGTATTTGGCAGTTTCTAGCCTACTCGTATCATGCCTTGTATTCATTGCTAATATTCCTTAAATTCTATGTTCAATTAGTAATAAAAATAAAACTTAACACTTGGTAAGATTTTATAAATTTTTTAAAACTTTTGAACAAATTTTCTTTTTAATGTTGCATTGAAATTTATCATTTTACGGTACTGTTAATTATGCGACTAAAAAGAAAATTCATTTAGTACCAACTTCGTGGTTCGTTAGTAACTGAAACTCGACGATGTCGTATATTGCAAAAAATTGCGAAGTACATAGCGAGCATTGTAATTGATAAAAACAACGCCCAAATATGACGAAAACTAAATTAATGGATTTTAATTATTTGCAACGACTTCCATTATAAAATAAAAATGATAACCTAATTTTTGGATTTTTTGAGTTTCATCGAAACACAGTGATAGATATTTTCATTATATTATTTGAATTTGTCTGAGTTGCTCTAAAAAAACTAAAACAATGCTTTAATCTAACCTTAAAAAAACTTTGCCACCATTACTTGACTGTTTTGTACAGTTTGCTGTCCAGAGTAAGGTTGAAACTTCAAAACTTCTCGAACAGTAATAATAATCCGCAAATGAAATTGCTGAAAATTTCAAGATTAATAATAGTAATGAATAGATCATAAATTTGGAACTGTGATTGTAATTACAATAAGTAAAATAGAAGCGAATTATCAATTTAAAAGACTATTTCAAAAACTATCAAAATTGTCATGTAAAGGTAGGTGACAGCTACTAAAGCTGTTGCATGACACTACTGAGCAGTTGATGTCGTGGATTTTAATATATTTAAGCTTTAAAATATTATGTGAGAGTTGAGAATATGAGTAAGAAATATGTTCTGTGAAATATTGCAAATAATGTTTATAAACTTTTACAAACACTCCAATCCTATGTTTAGTCTGTAAATCTTTTATATATTGTTTATACGATACCAGCATCTCATTTATTTGACCTCATTGTTGTGTCACCACTAACTGTAAATTATGTCTTGAATCTATGAGGTTAAAACTTTTGCTTAACTGATGTCCTTTGCGGTTTTTCAACTAGTAAATAAATTTGATTGTAACCTAGGTCAACAGCTCTTTGTTACTCTTTCGGCAGGTCAACCTCTTATTGTAAATCACATACTTTGTTTATGCATATTGCTCGCTATATAAGGAGGTCACCCTTGTTGAGTGGGGCATTGTGTGCTTTCTTACCAAGAACCAGGAGAGTTCAATTTCAATTCTTCTTTACCAATTATTGTATTATTGTTTCTGCCAATAAAGGATTATTATATTCCTCTGTTACCTCACATATTTACATCTACACCCAATGAATCTACCTGCAATCAACAATCTCTCCCAGAATAATAAATTAAATTATGAAATCTTCCACGACAAATTTTTGCTTCCAGAATAATCGATAATCTCCATATAAAACGAAACAATCATTTTTGACATACCAAAAGCTGTTAACCATACGAAAATGATTAGAAAATACAGCTTTGTTGATTCGAATAGTACATTGAATTTCGGGAAAATAATAGACAGGAAGCGATTTAGCGTCCATAAAAATCCAAAGTGTAATACGGCGTAAAATGAAGATGTATTGATCGTCGAGAACAACTGATTGATCCACGTTTTGCAAGCTAAAATACAAACAAGACAAGACAGTGAAATGTTTGGATGAAAGCAGTGTGAAATCTATAACGTTGTACATAAACCGTCACCAGCTATGAGTTTGAAATCGCTGGTGAAACTTCCGATTAAATCGCACTAATATTAGAAATCAGATGGATTACTTATCGAGAAAACCAAAGTATTTTAATTAACTGCCAGAATAATTAAACTGTTTAAATTTGTTTTAATTAATTTCTAATTAATATGCAAATTGCTCTGGCTTAGATATATGTAAACATATGATATACCATTTCACATGTAAATCCTTCCATTCAAGAGGTTAGCATATATTCAATGCTTAAATTGTTTCCAACAACCAAGCTTATATTTTGTGTCAAGAAAGGCTTTTGTTTAGATAGCTACCAAAGCTCTCAATAGGATATAACATATTATTGTTTGTTGTAAACAAACTCCACTGCATAAGGAGATCAGATCTTTAACCTTTTCAAAAAATAAAACGATCAGTTTGTGTTCATTCTGCACTTGTATATTCGGCAGCAGTACAGTAAAGCTTATAATATTCTAACAAATTTTTTTGTATCAAATTCCTCAAATTATGATTATATTTCTGGGGAAAATTGATCTATTGAAAATATTTTTTGATGCTATATTACAACTTTGTTCAGTAAAAAATTCTGTTTTTCTTCGCTAACAACTACCGTTTTTAACACTGTTTTTGAATAATTATGCAAATAAAATGACTTACAATTTGAATTCTTCTTAGTCAGTAATATTTCTGGCAAAAGAACAATCATATGTGGAATAAAGCTTATCAAATTACAAATAATAATTTGAAGTGTGATAAGAATAAATGCACGACCGTAAAGATTGCCTCGACTGAAGCATACGATAGCCATTAGTATATTGCTAATGATACCGTATAACAAGAATACAGGAAACAGTAAAACTACAGTATACTTTGCAGTCATATATTTTTCGTCTCGTATATCGAATATACTCGTTGTATTTGCTCCGTTGCAGTTTAAAGGTAATATTAGAAGTAATGCAACAATACAGTAAGAATAAGTTACCATTTTGCCTATCGATAATCTTTTTCAGAAACGTTTCATTCCACCTCAATTTCAATTATTGCATAATTACGTGTAAATCTCAGTGTTGTAAAATGTATTTAGTTGCAAATGGAAAACACAGAATTGCAATCAATGTGGAAAATGCATTAATATATAATGACACTTATAAATTTTAACTGCGAAATGACTTCCATTTGAGACAACAAATATTAGATTAAAAATTACAAGAGTAAGGAAGGAATTTAGAATGTCTTAATGAAATCATCGATGTAAGTAAAAAAAAGTACATCTTTATAAAGCATGCAATCTGATCAGCTTTTTAAGTTAATCTAAATGAATTTGCTCATAAAGTTTGTCATTTGACTGTTTGAGACAACAAATATTTTCCATTAATGTTTTCCATTAATGCTATCAATAATTGAATAATGTAAAATGTGTCATTAAAATATTGCAGAGATACTTTTATATTATTTACCTTTCATTATATTATGATGATAATCAATCAAGGAATGATGGAAAACAAATTTTTAGCATAAATATTGCTTTGTTTAAAATTTGTTAAAATACAGTACAGTTTTTTTTTTACAGCAACTCATAGTACTAGACGGTGCTACGAAAATTGTCACATGAATATGTCTCATATGAATATGTGTTCAAAGAAGTGTCATATATCAATCAGTAAGATTCTATGAATTTGAAAACTGTGAAATATGAGCAAAGGAAAAATTTTTATCTAGCTATGAATGTAATTTTCAGCAATTTCTTGAGTGTTTTGCATAGTTGAAGCTGAAGCAAACTTTTGACAGTTTGAAAATTTAGCTAAATAGCTAAATGAAATTGCTAAAAACAACAAACTCATTGCATAAACAAACAAACAAATTGTAAATTTTGGATTGTGGTTGTAATTATACACTAAAATGATAAATGAACATTAAATAAAAGTTTGTTGGCTAAAACTAACAAAACGTCGATAAAGGAAAATGCTACTCTCCAGAAACTACTTCGGAATGAAATAATCGTTTTGAATATTCCGCCAAGTTAGCACATGCATTATTTATGAGTCCAATTAAATTGAAAGTTTGATCGAAGTCTTGTCGAAGTATTCTTGATATATACTTCGACATGAGTGCGTAGTTGAAAGTTGAAAAAAGCTGTTTAATTTGATTCATACGTATAATCAGTACTAATATAAATTTATAAAAGTGTTTGAAATAAATAGAAGAAATTAATTTTCAAACGTAAATAAAAACGGTATTGTATATTTATAATAAAAGATCACTACAACTAACCTCTCAATTAATTGTGCAAGCAAATTATTTCAGCTATATTGTTCCGTTATAGTAGGAAGAAAATATTTCAACTTCAATTATCGTTTCTTTTTTTAATGCCTGAAGTACAATTTATAAAAAATTGAAAATTCAAATTCTGAAGAGTATCTGCAGCCGGTGATAAATATTTAAAAAGCATTTATAATTTTAACACCAATTTTTCAAGTTTTTTTGCAGCTATCATAGAAATTGCTAGCAAACAATGCCATCGATATTGTTACTAATTTTATCTATCAAATGTACGATCGAAATGTTTAGATCACTCTTTTTTTTTTTTTTGTAAATTGTTTTCTTTGTTTACTTGTTCATTTAATTATTCCATCAAGCTTTTTTCGTTTTCATTTTCAGTTCAAGTTATTTTTTTTATATGATAAAAACAAAGACATGTATGGTTTAACAGAGGGAACTGTTGGATTCGAGTTGGAATTGAATGAATTGAATCTTTAATTTTGTGGATTATTTTTTCAACCATTTTTGAATAATAATTGTTGTGTTAAAAAAAAGTAAGAATAGTTGTTTGCATTGTTGATGAAGTGATACAGTGAGCTTTGAATAGATCAAAATAATAATTCATTTGTATGTAAAACAAAAGATTTAAGGTAAAATAATAATTGAGATTTGAAGCTATAACGATGTTTCCTTTCTAGATGAAATAATCTGCGTAAGTTATCTGTGTTTTGGTTCTGGATGAAGTTACAAGGATTAGATTCTTCTAGATAAATTAATAGTTCGGAATGTTTAAAAAGGAAAATTATAAAAATCAAAGTTTTGTCCCAACAATAAAATACATTTTCTTGATTTTATGAAAATTGAAATTACTTGAAATAAAAATGAAAGCGAAAAAAAAAATCAAAAAAAAAAAAACATTATAAAACAATTAAAAGAACATGCAGTTTGTCTTGTTCGACATTGTCATTTTATTTGATTGAATTATTAACTAGCATATTTTATTATTAATTATCATGTAACATTTTCAACTAATCATTTTAATTTTTTAAAGTTTTTTTTTTTTCTCATAAATTTGGTTCGGAAATTTCCATATTCAAATAAAAAAAATTAGTGATGATTATAATGCAGGCTGGCGTGCTAGCATAATTTAAATTTTTGACGATTTTTTTTTCATAATTTAGATTTTTGATATGAAATTATAAATTGAAGTGTTTGATGCGATGAGTGCTTCTTCTGAATGAATCGACAAGTAAATGAAGCAACAATTGAATGTAAGTTAGTTTTCCATAAATGTTTACATACTAATTACAAATGTTAAAAGTTTCTTTGTTGTTTTTTAGTTTATTAAACTAAATTTTATTGTTGTCATTTTCACGTTGGCTATTACAATTTTGCTAACATTGCTAAGAATATGTGTGCAAGAAAGTAATTTGCATTTGGAAAAATTTAATTTTATTGTTAATAGCAATTAACATTCATTCGATCATTGTTAGCTCAATTCATTTTCTCCTTATCATAAAGCAATAATCTATTGACAGTCACTACTGTTATAAGCAGTTGTAGTGTTTGCTATAAGCTAAATGCCATTGCTAGGTTAAAGATCATCAATGAATTTACAGCTGTTTACTCTTTTGAAGCACTTGCTGTAGTCATATGCGTTTTGTTATAAGAGTGAGTAAGAGATGGATGTTGTGTGGGCTTAGTTCCCGGGTATTTAATTTCCCGTATTTGGTTTGTCTTGGCACTCACTCAATTCAATCTTAAAAAGCTATAGTGTAAAACAACAATAATAACACTGTGGAGAAACATATAAAAAAGCGAAATATGCTATTCGGTATAATTTAATTAAAGCTATTGTGGACATTGTGAAGTTACGACAACAACAAATTATCAATCTTTCCTCGATAATATCCTAATTATTTCAATATTGTTCATTACATACTGGGAAGATAATATCAAACAAACATGTAGGCTTATGTTGTTTGTGTAAATAAAAGTCCAAAATGTAAGCAATACACTTTTCAAAACAGTTTTACTTAATCGAACACAACAATAATATAATATTTTCAAGTAAAAAATATTTTTGCAAATTAGAAATAACAAAAATTGGGGTTTATACTTTCTTAACCGTATAAATTTTCGTAAAAAATTCATTAAAATCAAACTGGTCAGATCAGCCAGAATTTTAAAACTGAATCTTAAAATTTTGCACTAAAATCTCTCTATGGATTACATTATGATATATATCAAAACTGAAGACAGCCGAATGCTTTTTTGTAATTTTCATATTTTAATTAAAGCATCGAAATTATTAATAAAACAATTCCATATTTAAGCTTATAAAAAAAGGAAAAAAAAAGTTCTTGTATTTCAAGAAACGTTTCAGATAACAAATGAGCTAAAATTTAATTTTCAGAATTATTGCGGAAAATAATTTCAAGCATATCATTTAATTTCTCAACTCACTACTACTGCATTCACATTGTGTTTTGTGTCCCAGCATACCTTGGTGGTCAACGGTCTTACTTTTAACTGTCCCACTCTCAGTTGCAAGCAACCATATAAATGATATTTTACGATAGCACACGATTGCTTACTGTAAATAAAATGAACAGTAGGCAATACGGAGCAAATGAAAATGATGTAACAATTTATGAAAATTCTGGATGGAAGGTCAGCTTCTTTGCCAAAAATTTTAGTTAACATTGGTGACAGAAAATTAAAAACAATAACACCAATTACCCATACACCACAATTGCATGCAGCTTGAATTAACATCGACCATTCATAATATGAAATTTTCATGGTATTACTTCCATGTCTTGCATTCATGTTCATCATATCTGAAAGATATTTGATAGTTAAGCGATGAAATAAGCTAAAATTAGAGAGTGAGAATTTCTGAATTTAACAAATTTAATAACTTGGAAAGGAACAGTAAATTTTATTAATTACTCATATCATTAAAAAAAAAAAAATTTAGTGTACAAACTTTGATTTTGATTGTTATTCGTTGCAAAATGACGTCTACGACGTATACTATAGAATATCACAATGTACATAACGAACATTATATTAGGTATAAGTAATGCCCAACGGTAAGATAATCTAAAACATATTAAGCAAATCAATTTTTAAATCAATCTGGAACTTTCTGTAATGTCTCTAGGCTACTACAACATAAAAGTTAAAGATTAAGTATATTAAAGTTGAGTGATACTTTGGAATAACACAAATGAAGAAGTTTGCATGGAAAGAAATCGCAACTTAGTTATTTAAGTTAAATTAGAGATTTGCTCAAAATTGAAAAAAAGAGCTTTGAATAATGACCTCCACCAAGTCTGGCTTATTCCGCTTGACTTTGCACAATTTGCTTCCCAACTGAGATTCCACACAAGGAATCTTCTGGTGCAGTAATAAAAATCGGCAGATGTAATCACTGAAAATTAACAAGAATTCAAAAAAATTTAAGTATAAGTTAATTTCGATAAAACTGGATTTCCAGAATCTCTGCAATAATAATGGTATAGAACTACTAGAAATCATTTTAATTATTATTTGAAGAGATATCAATGATTCATACCTAAAACTGATAACCACACAAAAGCAATTAGAAAATACAACTTTGCTGATTCGAAAAAAGCGTAGTATTTTGGTAAAATTAGTGCCACAAAACGATTCAGCGTCAACAAAAGTGAAAAATGAAGTATGGAAAAGAGTGAAAAAGTATTGGAAGTTGAGAATGCGCGGTTAATCCACGTTGTTTCATTTGCTGAAATATAATTAAATTAGTTATTGAATAAAATTTATTATAACAAAACCAAGCTTAAACAAGTTTCGTGACAAAGAAAATTTGCAAAAGTATTATAAAATATACATTTTAAAAATTTCATTTCAAAAAATCTGAATCAATTCAATTTTGATAAAAGCTTTGATTGTCAACGGTTAAATAACATCAATGCAGTATTTTGTAGTCTAAATAAGAAGTGTAGCATTTAAAATTTATTAGCAGAAATCTCTTCTCTTCAATTTAATTTTAAAAGAATTACTTAAATTAATATTTAGCTAATACAAAAGGAAATAATGCTTGGAGAATAAGCATAAAGTAACTTACAATATGAACTGTTTTTTGTTTTTAATATTTCAGGTAATACAACAAATATTTGTGGAAGAAAAGCTGTGAAATTAGAAATAATCACTTGTAATATGATGAGAGTAAATTCACGACCATAATGATTTTGTTGTTTACTAAATACTACGACTGCCATCAATGTATTACTAATAATACCGCAAAGCAATAAAGCAGTAAAAAATAGAACTGCTATATATTTTGTAATCTTATGATTTTTGTCTCTTATGTCAACCACCTCTGTCAACCACGTTGTGCTTTTTTCTTGACATGTTGAGGGTAATACCAGAAATAATACAATTACGCAGTATGAACGGTCCATTTTATTAATAAACAATTCTCGTTTCTATCACAAAATTGAGCACAATAGGAAGGGAAAATTTTCAACTGGTTGAAAGATAAAGTGATAAGAAATAACAGAGGTTGGTAAAATATAGCAGTATTTAAAGACTAACATAATTTAAACGAAATGAATTTTCTTTTTATTATTTTTGCAACTGTCATGGAAACTGCTACTAAAAAATGTCACTAATATCGTCATCAAATTTATTCATAGGATCAAATGGAGTGATATTTTCGGAACTCAATTTGCTAATTATAAATTCACTTCAACTAGTTCGACTGATACAGAAACAATCAAACAAATGAGAGATGTAAACGGAAAATAAATTGAAAAGAAGCTAGTTAATGAAATGATTGAAAATTCACTGTCCTATTATATTGAATCTTCCTAATGTGTTCGTTCAGTAGTGCACTTTTTGATTTTAATTACTAATTCAATTGTTTGTGTTAAATTTGAATCCATTTCTTTATGTGATCCGTTATTTGTGATTTTCACTCAGACCGATGAATTAGTATTCTTCGTACTCTCGAAATGACAGACATTGACGATCGATTCAGACCAAAAGCGCTAAATTATTGAAATACTAAATTTCTGAAAAAAAAATAACAACAAATTATACATTTGTTTTTGTAAGTTTATAATTTGTTATCTTCTCAAATATTTCCAAATTTGGCTCGAAATTTGATGAATTCTTAATTGTTATTGAAAGAATACTTAGATTAATAATGAATAAGATCATATATATATCCACTTTCTTATGGAATTGTGAATAAAATTAAGTACTCATTCGTAAATTTTTAATGCACACACAATTTATGTAATTAACAAATATTTCTCACATAGCTCAAATAATTAACTGTTAACCATAAAGGCAGCCAGTAGTGTTACATTGTCATTTCAATGATACAAAAACTTTGAAATTACCTATAAAATCTGCTAGTACAGCAAATTTTCAATCTTTTTTCTTCCATATATTTCAGCAATGTAATATGAAAGCAAACAATTGCTGATTCTTCTTGATGAGCACAGTCTAAAAGTTTTTAGTTTTATCAATAGCTGATGAATACTTTCCTGTCAGTTTTAAGTGTGAAGTATTAATATATCTCAAATAATGGTCAAAATGATTTCTTTCAAGCAATAATTCCTATCTCTTAAATAACTTACAGATAAGTGATCTATAATTTATGGTTCGGTATATTACTTTTTCATCTTTGAGCACTTTGAGTTACGATTACGTCACCATTTTGCTGCAGTAAAATGAGTTCTGAAAACTAATTTTATCAAAGTAGAATTCATACTGAATTTTTTGATTCTTTTCTTTTCTGAATGCTTTGTTAATATTTGATAATAATTTTCAGCGATCAAATCTATCGATTTTTAGTATTATACCAGAAGATGAAATGCAAAATAAAATGGAGTGCGAGATTATGTGACAGTGCTATTTTGTTCAAACTTGAGCATATCCTTAATTTAACCTTTAAACCATCAAACTGTGATGCTTTATTCATAAATTTTTGCATTTGTATTGTTGTAGTGCATCATTCCATACTCTGAAATATTCTAAAAAAACCTAATACTGATCGAAGTAACCGATACTTTTCCATTTCCTTGCTACTACAATAAGTTTCAGTTGGATTTAGATTAGCAAAACCTACTTGCTTAATATAGCTGAGATTGTTTATTACTTATCCACTACAATGCTATGTATATTTCGATATTCTGCAATCAAAATGAAAATTTTTACTATTAAACTGTTTCATCTTTTTGTTATATAATTAAATTCGAGGAAAGATTTAGCATTTGTTGGTGTGACAACTTCACAACGTTGACAACGTTGACAATAGCTTCATTGTTCTTACACGATGTCACATAATATGGCATTCACACGATAATAGAAAGAAATGAATACCAAATTATACCGAGCAGTTCACTAAATCTTGTCACACTTTCTTGCCATCTATCGTTGTTCTTGCTGCTTCTGTACCACTCTGAGAGAGTGTTGAGAACAATGGGAGGGAGTAGGAGCTTCTTTATTGATTGAACAATGGGTCTTACTCCTTGTGTAGTGCATTTTGGCTTATAACAAAATTACAGTACTTTGAGGAAAAGAGTAAGGAGTTATCATTTGTCGATAATTACATATGTTAGTAATGTAATGGCATTGCGCTAATTGCTTATAACATTGATTGTCGGACAGAAATGCTTCTACAACATTCAGCAATACAAGTTAGATGGCTTTATAATAAGGAAATCTAAATGAACAACGAGCTTACAACCTTTTAAGAGCAAAGCAAATTACACATTAGTGTGAAAATTTTGTCCAATAACAACAATAAGTAAAAAAATAAATTTTTAATAAACTTTTAATAATAAATTTTAATAAACTAAAAAACAACAAAGAAACTTTTAACATTTGTAATTAGTATGTAAACATTTATGGAAAACTAACTTACATTCAATTGTTGCTTCATTTACTTGTCGATTCATTCAGAAGAAGCACTCATCGCATCAAACATTTCAATTTATAATTTCATATCAGAAGTCTACTTTGAAGCATTTCTTATCTTCCAACAAAGTTATTACTATTTTCTGTCTATAGCTATCCATTTTCTGTAAACACTTGTGCACACTTGTTTACACAAATTATCTATCCAAATTTATGAGAAAAAAAAAAAACTTAATGAATTAAAACTATAAATGAAGCTGAAAATACAACAGGATAATTAAATGGCATTTTTTGTCTATCGAAACAAAATGAGGAATTTGGACAAAATGATCAATCTTTTATCTAAACTTTTCCTACCACAATAAACATTCACAACACATAGATCAGCCATAAAGTCGCAACAATCAAAATATTTCCATTTTGCGCCTCGCAACGTTTTGCATTTCTTTTAATGCTAAATTGCTTTTTGCCATTGATCACAATTATTTCGAAATTTAATACATTTATCGAAACTGTTGTCAGTATTTGGTATGATATGTTGATTAACTTTGCAGAGTATGGGAATCATTCTTAAATAACTTATGGAGACTGTTTTTACAAATTCATTGAAGGCATTTCTAATAGTGATATTTCTTAATGTCACTGATATGGAGAATTTGATCGGGAATTAGATCAAAGGCACAAATCTAAACATTCTAAACAGAAACTTGATCAAGAACAAGCATTGAAGATTCTTTGGTTATTATTTATTTAATACACAGATAGCATGGACGTATGCGAATTATGGAAAGGATCAATAGCAATAATATATTTATAAATTAAAAGATATTTTCGAAAATTAGGAATGACAAAGTTGGTTTGACATTCTTTAAAAATTTGTTGAAATCTAAAAAAGTGGTGTTGAGGGTATAAATCATAGCAAATCAAATTTGAAACTGAGAATACTTCATTGCAGTAATAAAATCGATGAATATGAACGTTAAAAATTTAACCGTAGTATAAATAAGACTTCTGGACAATCAAATCTCCAACTTTGTCAAATATTAGTGATAAATAAAAGAATTAAAAATTGAAGGGCAAATCAATTTAATTTGATCAAATCAAATTTCTAAAATTTGGCATCAGTATTTACCTTAGTACAATAATAACATTATTAAACAGTGTTTAAAGATGACTAAACATTATCCTGCAACATCTGCTTGAACGAATGTTAAAATACCTATCCTTAAGTTATTTTTAAAGGATAGAAATTATTTTAGTCATTATTTGGTGACATCAATAATTTATGCCAAAATTAGACGACCAAACGAATGAATTGGAAAGTGAAGAAAATATGAAAGAATACGGCAAATTAACTTACTAATTTTTTGAGTGTAATTATTAATTTGGTCATTTGTGTCAAATTTGAAATATATTGAAATCGATTTCTCAGCACGATTTGTTATTTGTGATTTTTTTTCAATTAAACCAAATAACAATTCTTCCTATTGCATTAAATTGCTTTGTGATATTTTATGGCGAATTGATTTAATAAGCAAAGCTATAGCAAAGAGATGAATTCATTATATTCATAAATTTCAAATTTATAAAATCATAAATTTAAAAAGAAAATTCATAAACAGCCAAATTAATAGGTTTACTCTGAATGGTCAGTTAGTTACAGCTATTTTCGGTAAAAAAAATTAAAATTTTTTGCATTCTTCGATTTAGCCATTACTTCTGACTTAGTTTCACTTGACTTTGCTTTGAACTTTAACATCAAATCAAGGAATCATTTTTAAAAAAAAAAAAGATTTTAGTGACATTGTTATTGGCAATTTCCTAAAACAGTTTGTAAAAAAAAAAACTCATTTCATATTTAAACTCTAATTGATCTTTGAATATTAATACATATTCCACTATCGATCGTTCTATTCTGGAAATCGAATTCTCAATTTCGAGTAATTTATATTTCTTTCTTTTCTATTATTGTGCTAAAATTTTGTGACAATTTTTTTTTCTTTTTTTGCGAAAAGAGCCATCAATTAATAAAATGATCATTCATTCTTAATATTTAATTGTACTATTTCTGATATATTATCCTCAATGTATCAGAAAAGAAATGGAACTAATATGGTTGACATAAGAGACAAAAATTATATCATTACAAAATTAAATAGTAAAATTATTTTATTTTTAGTAGAGATTGCAAAATTAAATTATAAGATTACAAAATTAAATAGTAAACAGTTTTATTTCTTGCTTTACTACGGTATTACTAGTAGTACATTGATTGCAATCGTTTCCTATCTCAGACGAGACAATCACTTCATAATTCCTTCAGAATAAGAGGAATTCCTCGGGAATCCACCGGTACCTCCCAGAAAAGAAACGGAATAATTTAGAAGTGATTGTTTCTTTGATTAACTTCAGAAAAAAAAGAAAAACGCAAACACAAAAAAAAAAACCTTCCAACGACGATCTCTTTCTCCTTCTCTTTCCCCCTCCCTCTCTCTCTCTCTCTATCTCTCTCTCTCTCTCTCTCTCTCAAAAAAAAAACTCCCTAGTCACCCGTTTCATCCATATCTTCGTATATCTTCGATCATATTGCGATAATTGTTTATTCTTTCTTAACAGACAAATAAATTTCTAACAAAGAGAGAGGGAGAGAGAGAGAGAGGGAAAAGAGATATATACTTTTGTAGGTTAAGAGAGAGAGAAGGGAGATATGTACATTTGTCTGTTAAGAGAGAGAGAGAGAGAGACAGAGAGGGGAGTTTTATCTAATAAATTTAAGAGAAGGATTTTCTAGAGCTAATCGTTATAGCCTTTTCAAAGCAAATTTTTCAATGAATAGTCGATCAGTTTGATAAGTGATAAATTGATAAGTGATAAATGTGAAATTGATAAGTGATAAATGATCTTAAGATTAATATGACGAGAAGAAAAAAGAAAAATCCAAAAATTTTTTCAAAATTAGGGAACAGTACCTATTTGAGCTAATAATAAATGCAATTATAAGTTATTGCTACATTTTAAGTATAATTTTTTACAACACAATATAACTGGCATAGAAATATTTAGTTTAAATTTGTTTAATATTATCTTAGAATTAAAATACATAAAATATTAAATAAATTACTGGGATAAACAAAAGTTAGTACAACAATAAATAATTATGATATGGGAAAGTTTCATTCTTTTTACTTTATATGAACTTTTATTCAATTAGTTTTTAATTTTTCATCTTTATATTTAATTCTTTACATACTTATTAGAAGGAATGAAGAAAACAAATAATAACACAAATATATTTTATAAAAGTTTTCCAGAAATTACTCTTATCTTTTCCCACAGAGTTAAGTCTTTTTTTTTTTTTTTTTGCATACAGTTTAATGAAAAATTACTGAGTGAATCATAAATTCTCAATCTATTTTGTCTAACTTACAATTTAAGTATTAATTTCATATGCTTTTGCATTCTTAGTTATTATTAATATTTAACTGAAATTCTTAATAATTATTATTTAACTGAAAAATTCATTATAAAACATTACTTGAAGGACGAATGAAAGTGTTGATGAACTATTGAAGATTTAAAATTCCATTAAATTGGACTTTTCAAATAAACCAATTTAAAATATTCATATTTCACGATATTATAATGTAGATAGTAAAATTAAAAATTTTTTTGAAATTTTATTTTAATTATTTCACTTCAATTTGATTTTTAATTATCATCGATGATCGCATTACATTTCCATTGAATCTTTTCCTTTATTGTATTAAAAACGATGGCTTATTTTCAATAGATAGATTAATAAGATTAGATCAATAGATAGATCGATAGATACCTAGATAGATTAAATTGATTAGATCGATAGATAATTATCAATTTTTAAAACATTTACTTTGCTTTCTTTATTTTCAATGCAACCTTCAATTAAGTTTTATTTTATTATTTTCCCTCCATTAGAACTCTAATATCTTTTTGAAATTATTTGTTAACAATTTGAATAACATTTATTTCATGTAATACAATTATTTATATTTGTTTATGATATATTATTTAAATAAATTAAATTCAAATTTGCATCTTTCACTTTTATAATATTAACAAAATTATATTTATTCAAAGATATAAAATTGTATTTATGCAAACTAAAAGTAATTATACAAATGTGTGCATTCATTCATTTAAAATTAAAATATATAATAAATGTCCCTTTTTCGATATTATTATGAGAATAGAGCAATTGTTAATTATGAAAACAGGAAATTTTTACTAAAACATATATATGTCCGTTTTAAAATTTAGTCGTATTTACAAAAGTTTTAATAAACATTATATCTTTTCTCTCTCTCTCTCTCTCTCTCTCTCTCATCCTTTTTCTAATAATATTCCTTTCTTATATTTATTGTTAAGAATATTTTATTACGAAAATTTACGATGTATTTTAATAATCTAAAAGATATGATTTAGTTGCAATTTCTCAAAATGTTCCATTCATTTGGAAGTAAAATCAACATCATTTAAATATAATCATTTATCATTTATCATTGATAATCACATCCGTTCTAAGCTGATTATTAATTATTATTTGAAAGAATGAAGCATTCTTATTGTTCAACTAATTATTTTTATCAATGACATTCATTGTTATTTATCATTATGGTTCTAATTACTCTATTACTACCTATTTATGTATTAATTTTTCCGTAAGTTTATTAAAATTTTACTTATTTTAAATAAATATGAATATAAATAGATGTTGTTCTCCTTTTCTTTTTTTTTTTTTGTAATATATTAATTAAGTTTTGTTGTCGAAAAATGAATATTTTTTAATATCGAAAAATAAATTTTTTTTCAAAATTTAGCATTCATTATTTGATGAAAAAATACTAGCAATAATAATAATTAATAATAATGAATAATTAGTGGGTATTTTTAGGGTATTTTTAACAATTAAAAAATTTAATTAAAAATTTGAATTTACCCAAATTTGAACTTTTCTTTTAGCATTTCATTTCAATTGACAACAGCTACGATATTGGAATGTTTTAAATACTACCCAAATTACTACCTTGGTAAGAATGGAAATTTGGTTGTTATAAATATTTCCAGTATTACTTCCTGTTTGGATCATTGTTTAAAGGTTATTTTTCATATGAAATTAAATTTTTTAAATTGCTTTTCTTGTTTCTTTTTTTGATTAATTTTCAATCTTTTTTCATTTATTATATTTTTCATTGATAAATTAATGCTAAAATGAATGGAATAAAACTTAATAATTTTTTTTTTTTTTTGATCTCATTTTTTCTGGAATATATTTCTTCTTTTAGCTCAAATTAACTGGTAGATAATGCATTAACATATTTTTAATTTTTAAAAAATACAAGTTAAAAGGAAAAAAGAATTTTGTTTTTTTTCAATTACTTTATGTGAAATACTTTCAATTACTTTACAGTCACAATTACTTTATGAATTTATTTGTCGATCAGCTATGGTAAATAAAATACAAAGAGAATGTATCTTAAGTAAATGGAGTCCAAATTTGACAACATTTAGCAAATATCATTCGAGAGTTGTATATACAGTTTTTTATCAAAATATTTGCTTGCCACCATTGGATCAGGTTATTTCAATTACTAATATTTGTCATTACTTTAAATTAATCATATTTAATTAAATCAACTTAAATTAATTAAAGTAATCTCTTTTTTTTCAAACACTTTTTCAAATAATTTAAATTTTAAATCTATTATCAGTAACAAATTATCATTACTTTTATAATAAATAATTTGTGAAAAAAGTCATTGCTATTTACTTATTATTAATATAAATTATAAAAAAAAAAATGAATAATTTTAGGTGCAAAATTTTACAATTGCACCACCACGCACAACATTTTCAATACCAATCACAGATAGAAGATTAATTATGGCAAATTCTATCAATGATAAGATCAGGAATCATAAATCAATGGGTGTTGTCCATGATAGCACTGTTAATATGGAAAATAAGAAAAAATTATCATTTGAAACGGTACTTCATGCTGCACAACATGTTCTACCACCAAATACTATCAATGAAAACACTCATAGGTTTTACTTTTTATATCTTGCAAATACATTTTTTCAAAAATTTTTATTTAAAATTAAATTGACGAAATGATTGTGATAATATCACAAATTTTTAGTGATTAAAATTGACAATACAACTTCTGTTTGATAAAATATTCCTTTTTTATTTTACATATCAAAGATGAATTAATAATATGAATATATTTCATCGTACTTAGTGATTAGTGATAAAAGATAAGAAGTTGGATTATCTGCTAATTAATAGTTGAAAATACAAAAGAAAAAAAAAAGTAAAAAATTAAATTTGTTTACTTACTAATAAATGAAATATAATGTATTGATGAAATAAAAGAATTTTATGAGTGATATTCAAAATTTAACTACTCATTTAATATCTAATTAATTATTTATTCTTTGCTTAAGATAAGTTAATATTTGAATGAAATAAATTAATAGGTTTATCAAATCTACCCAAACTACTCTATCACCAAATCAGAAAACAACCGCATATTATGTTGATTACGATGAAGAACGAAGCAACAATAATGGCAGTAACAAGGATTGCGATGACAACAAAAATAATAATAACAAAAAAAATAATAATAATGATAATAATAGTAACAATAACAACAATAAACATGATGATAAAATCAATAGTGACAGCAATAATTACGACAGTAATAATGGCGATGATGATGATGCTGATGCTACTGATGATGATGACGATGATCATAATGATGATTATTATAACAATAATAATAATGATGATGATGGTGATGATGATGATAACATTTATAATAACAATGAATACGAGGATAGTGATATAAGTACTGATTTAATATCAACGAGTGATAAGCAACCTATTTCTGCTAACAAAAATGTTGCATATCGTATTGCTGCCAGTCTATTAAAACCGATAAGGACGATAAAAAGTGTTGCCATTAAACCGAATCCGGCAACTATCCATCGTGGTTTTCAACATACGGAACCATTAATTCCTGAAATTACTTCTTCTACTACTTTACTTCCTCTAAAAACTATCACACCATTTATCAATAATGCTATTACTACTATTGCTATTACTACTCCTTATGCTAGTGATAATATTATTACTACAAGTAACAGTATTGATACTGATAATAGTGATATTACTGATACTGCTATTATTGCTACTACTACTACTGGTACTACTATTATTGCTACAACAACAACAACAACAACAATAAAAGTTACTGTTACAACAAAAACTATTACTTCAGCAATGCAATTTATTCCTATTCCAATTGAAATGTTAGTTCGGGAATGGAATACGACTACAAAAGATTCAGAATTATCAATTCAACATCAAAATTACACTCTTAATATTGGAATTGTAGAACAGGAATTGAATAATCGACAAATGATACGAAATGGATTAATTAAAGAACTCAAATGCTTTCATTATTTTGCTAATAAGTTCGTTTATTTTGAAAAAAAAAAAATTTTTTTTTTTTTTTATTAACAAAATAAATTAGTCTTTTTTTTCCAGTTTTCTTTTTGTTAGTAGCAATATTTGAATTATCTTGTAATTTATAAATGATTAAATGAAATTAGAAAATTATCAAATTTAATTGATTGTAATTTTTTGCGAAATTTTTAGACAACTCAAAGGTTATCGACAGGAAATAATCAAACAAATTGGTTTACAAGATTGTTTACATAATTGTATTTTACGCATTTCATTTTTATGTTTGAGTGTTAATTACAATAAGAAAACAAGGGTTAGTTTAAATTATTTTAGATTTTTTTTTGAAATTTATTTAAATATTTTAATTAAAATTAATATACGAAATGTAGGAGTGAAAATTGTTCATTTATTTATGTATTAAAAATTAATTTCTTATTAATTCAATAAACACAATTTTTTTGTTTGTAAAAAAGAAATGCGATAAAACTTTTTTCTTTTTTTATTATTTATAAAAATAATTTTTCTTTTTTAGCAATGAAATAATTAGTTGCTTTATTTCACTTTTTGCTTTTTTAAATTTTTTTCAAATTATTTTTAATGAGTAATTTTTTGATTCAAATTAAAAAGTTATCCTTTCATGAGTAATAAATTATTATTTTAGGAATGCATTTTAAATGCTGATAATCGAATTATCAATAATGTTCAATTAACTTCATCAAAATTAACAGATTATTATGAATATGTTTGTTTGAATGCACGAAAACAAGGATTAAAAGCAAAAAATACGCGTAAAATTTAAATTTTTTTTTTAAAAAAAAAATAAAAAATTTGTTTTTGTTTTTTTTTGTTATTTCTTTTGCTAAATTTATATTTTATGCAAATGAAATGAAACTTAACAAATTGTTTGTTTCAAAAAAATATTTAGAAAAATTTATTTTTTTCACCTTCTTCTTTTTTTTGGTTTATCTTAAAATTTATCATATATTACTTTGCATTACTTTATTAAAAATTTGAGTATGTTATCGTTGAATTAAAATATTGGTAAGAATTAATTAATGGAAAAAATTATATATATGTATGAATTTCTTACGATATAGTTCCGAGCAAGATAATAGAATATTAAAGTATAGGTTTTCAGGTTTTTTTAAGCTTATTTAAAAATTAAAAAATTAAATTAAATTGATTATGCAATATTACTAATTTGATTTTTAAAAAAAATAAAAAATTTAACTGTTTTTTTAATATAAAATATTCAAATTGTTTTAGCAAATAAAATTAATAGAAGAGGAAAATTTTTTCTTCATCTTATATCAGTATATTATCATAAAAGATAGATGAAATGATAATACCAAAATATTATGTATTATTATAAGATAAGATTATCATAAGATACATTTACTCTATTTAATTCCTAATTTATGTTAAATTGCAAAGATAATTAGTAATAAAAATTTTAATTAAAATTTTCTATAATAACAAAAAAAAAAATCACTTTTTTTTAATGAAATTAAACTTTCTTGTACTCTTTAATAAACAATTTTATTTAAAATTTTTTTTAAAAATTTAATAAAAATTATTGAAAAAATATTTTTTCTTACTTAACAGATATTGGATATTACAATATTATCAAACTTCGAAAATGCTTTTCGATATGTGAAAATGCTGTAATGTATACACTAAATGGTCTTGTTGTCGACAATATTTATACATCATGTAAGCTAATAATTATTTATTATTAATTTACAAATAAAAATATTATTATTTTACATAATTTATCAAATATTTTAAATTCTAGCTTCAAAAATTCAATATTTTAATTTCAAATTTTCACTCAAAATTCAATTACATCTTTGAAAAAAAAAACAACTTAAAAATTCACAATTATTATATATAATATCTATTTAATCGAAATGTATATTCGGGGTGGAATTTAGAAAATGAAAAATTTTAATAGTTCAAAAAGTGGAAAGCATATTATTCAAAAGATAATTTGTTATAAAAAAAAGAAAAGAAAATAATATATGAAAATATAATGTCAATCAGTTTGATTGTTTTTATTATTTACACTGTGCTTATGCAAAAAAAAAAAAAGTTTTACATATAAAATTTGAATATTAATTAAAAATTACTAAATTCATTGAGTTAAAATAGAAAAACAGTACTGAAAATAGTAATAATAATAATAATAATAATAATAATAAAAATGGTAGTAATTAAATTGATATATTTTCAGTGGAATGTTTGATGACATGTGCTATATCACATCAGGTTTATAAAACAAAATGCTACTCTGTAAATTGGTTTAAAAATACTCGAACATGTTACCTGCATACTACTGAAACTGATATTAATAATTTAAAAGTCACTACAGCATCCGATTTCTTCCTTAACAATTGTGCTGGTATTGAATATTTGAATTTAATAATTCTTTTTGCTCATATTCTATTCTTTATATTTCAAAAAAAAAAAAAAAGAAAAAAATTTTTTTTAAAATCTTAATTAATAATGTTAAAAAACAATTTTTGTAAAAAAAAATGCTTAGCAAAATTAAATTATTTGTTAATTTTATGTTAACTTTGTAAAAATTTTAAGTAAATATTTTTTAGAAATTTCAAAAATTTAAAATTTTTCAGATAACTGACTATATTTTGGAATAAATAAAAAAAAAAAGTAACCACGTAACATTCACGTCGTATGATGCTTACGTATACTACTATATGTAATGATAGCGTAACTATACGTTAAATTTAACGATGTGAAAAAAATTTATGCAGAAATTAAATGAATATTAATTGGCAAGAAAAAAAGAAAAAAATTTTTTTTTTGCTATTTTTAAAAATTTAAACTTTTTTTAAGCTTTATTTTTGAAACTTTCTTCGTGCATCTCTTTCAGTTACTAAATTAACTTACTGAGTTCTCTAAAAAGTATTGAAAGTATATTATAATGAGAAAAATTTGTGTGAATCGATTCTGCTAATTTCAGAGAAAAACAAAAAAACATAAAATTTTAAAAAATATTTAAAATAAATTGAAAAAATTATTCTTTTAATTTTATTAAAATTATTTTTATTTCTTTTAGACTTTCCTTTTTTTTCCTTTGTTAAATTTAAAAATAAATTTCAGATTCTAATATAATAGTGAACGAAAGCAATGAATGTGAAGAAGATTACTGTGATAAATAGTGAAAATTTTATAATCACTGATATGAAATTGATAGATAATAATAAAAATTAAATTTGTCCTTTTTTTTTAAAAAAAAAAAGAATTGATTTCAAGGATTTAATTTAATTGTTAAGATATCATCAGTTATTTTATTTCAAATTATTTATAATAAATTTTCTTGTAAATAAAAATTTTTTTGTAGCATTATGCAAAAAAAAAAAAAGCAAATATGAATAGAAACTAAAGGAAAATACTTTCTTTGTTTTTTTTTCTGCTTGAATTTTTTGATTTAATTCTTCATGATTTTTTAATTTTAATAATTTTAAGTTACAAAAAAAAAAGGAACAAACAAACAGATCAGAATTATTTGAAGCAAACAGATCAAAATTGGTCGAATCAAAGAGATCAAAATTAGTTGAAGCAAAAAACTATTGCCACACTTCTGGAATCAAATAAAGTTCATTGTCAATCATTTATTTACGGTAATCTTTTTGTAAGTTAAAAAAAAAAAGAATTCCGAACAATTATTGATTTCAAAAAAAAAATCATTTAATGAAAAAAGGTTTTTTGTGGGAATTGTTTCTTTTTTTTTTGAAATGCAAAAATTTTATTACTAAATCAAATTTACAATATCAAATAAACAAATGATTTGATTGAAATCAATTTGAAAATTTAAGAATAATACATTTTTCCTTTCATTATTTACTTAGGAAAAGAAAAATTAATTTTAAATTATATCAAATAATTTGATTCGATCATTTCTTCATATTTGCAATTTGCAATGATCAAAAAAAAAAAAAAATGAATTTTTTTATGATGAATAATAATTATAAACATAAATTACTTGTTTAATTCTTTTCAAAAAAGAAAAAAAAAATCTAGCGTATATGACGTAAAGAATATGACGTAACGGATTATCACATATTTCTTTTATTAATTATTATTCTATCACAGCAGGTATTCCACTATTTGTTTTTTTTTTTGCCCTTCTAATTTCTTTTATGAAATTTGATATTTTAATTACTTTCTGCCAATCAATCATTCATTTTTATTTTATTTTTTTCCCTTTTTTTTTGGATTAAATATTTGTGAATAGTAATGAATAAATGATATGTACATTCATTATTTTTGCTAATTATGCAATAAAAATTGAATAAATTCTTTTTTTCTTTCTTTGGCAAAAATTTTTTTTTTTGGCTTCTTTTATATGTTTTAGATTAGTAATATACAAATATTTCATTCTTTGTTATTGTTTATTATTATTACTATTATTTATTATTGTCTGTTATTATTATTACTATTACTACTACTATTATTATTATCATTATTACTATTATTTATTATTGTCTGTTATTATTATTACTATTACTACTACTACTATTATTATCATTATTACTATTATTTATTATTGTCTGTTATTATTATTACTATTACTACTACTACTATTATTATTATTGTTATTATTATCATTATTAATATTATTTATTACTGTTTGTTATTATTATTACTATTACTGTTATTATTATTATTATTATTATTATTATTATTATTATAGGCATCAAAAAATGCCAATATCTAACATTATATTTTTGTAGAAAAAAATTTATCAAATTATTGAAATTTTAAAAAATTCTTTTTTTTTTTAAATCATAATGAACTGATTGCTATTTCCTCTCTGCTTCCTACATCATAAAATATTTTTAATTATTAACCAAAAAAACTATTTGGGAAAAGTTTATCAGAAAATTTTTCAAATATCAAAGAAACTTTTTAAAAAAAAAAGAAAGAAAAAAGTGAAAATTTTTAAACAGAATGCCGCCTTTGGATAATAGCGCTTATACGATTTGATCTATGCCGAAATTAACAATTTGAACAGAGAGAGAGAATATTTTCTTTACTTTTTATTCTTCTAAAATTTCACTTTCTCATACATTTTTTCATTTATAGATTTTGAAAAAATTTTTGATAGCAAACAGTTTGCTAATGATAAATATTTTTGATTATTATTTCATTTTATCATATCAATGAATTAAACTTTATTAGCTACTTCAATTGAGAATTAAATTTTAAATTAAATTTAAATTTAGCTAATAGATTTGTAAAAAAAAAGATATAAGAAAATAAAAAAGCGACAAATTTGAAATTTACTTATCATTTATAATTAATCAAATTCGATGAATTTAAGAAACATAAAAAATTGTCATAAATTATTGTTGATTTGGAAAATAAAGCTAATTTTTTTTCCAATCAAATAGCATATGTCTTTTCTTTTCTTTTTTTTTTTTTTTTGAATAAAATATTATTTTATTAATTTTTTTCTCTCAGTGTTTGTATAAAATATAATTATATTTTATCATTAAAATTTAAGTAATGCATTTCTTGAATTTCATTTTTATTTCAAATTGGTTGGAATTGCAAGAACAAAAGAGCAAAATAAACAAACAAAATGTTAGGATAATACAAAAATAAACAATAATATATACTTAAGAATTTAAATTTCTCTCTCTTTTTTTTTATTACAATAAAATAATAAATAATTGCTTCAATGTTAGATAAAAAATGAAAAATAAATTTAATTTAATATCCAATTTAGTTCATAATTTAAACATTTCAAAAAAAAAAGTTTATTCCATTACTTTTATTATCTTTTTTTTATTGGTTTTGAACAATTAAAACTGTTTTTTAAATTTATTTAAATTAATTTAAAAGTAATATTTTCGTGTTAATTTTTCACATTTTCGTATTTTATTTTTTTTCTTATACATGAAAAATTTTTGTAAATTTAAAGAAGAATCATCGTTTTTGCAAATTAATGATTGATGATTAGCTGAGAGAATGATGAATTTAGTTGATGGAAATTTATTGTAAACATATCATTTAGTGATTTGGAAGTTGTAAACAAAATTTTGTCGGCATTTTTCATTTCATCACTCTCTCAGGATAATAAAGAAAATTTTTTGATATCATTGAGCGTTTCTCTTTTAACAGTACTTAGAGATATTATTTATGAGATAAAACAAAAAAAAAAAAGAAAATTTAAATTATTTACAAGTTGATAATAATTTATTTATTAAATTTGATATTAAAAATTTTTGAATATCTATTACGGCACCCAAAATTTGATGCAGTTCATTAAATTATCCATTTCAAATCTAAAATTTCAATATATCATGAATAAAACAATCAAAATTTATTAATTAAATGATAAACAATGAAATGATAATTTTTTTGCATTGCAAATATTTTTTTTTTCTCGTTGTCATTATGATTATTATTGAATCAAAATTAATTTTAATTATTCAAAAATTTTAAATTAATAAAGAATAAGTTTAATGATGGTTTACATCTTAAACTTTTTCAAATAATGAAACAATTTTTTTATGAACATAAATAAGTAAAATATACATTTATATTTATAAAAAGAAAATTTTTTTATTTCTCAATAAACATATATACATAATGAAATTAATTATTGATATCTAACTAGTAATAATATTAAATAAGGATAAAAAATGACTTAAAAAATGAGAAATAAAAATGGTATCACGAATGTAAGTAAAAAGTAAAAAGTAGACAAAAGTTAAAGTAAATGAATTCCCTAAAAACTTCTTAATGGCATGTATCGTTTTAGTATATGAATATTATTAAATATCATATTTAGTAAATGAACTCATATTATTAAATTAAATATCATATTATTAAATATGTAATATATTATTAAATATAAGTACCAAAATTAATTATTAAAAAAAATTTTATACTGTCTTATTATTAGACATCATGTTATTAAATTTAAAATACTAAAATTAATTATTAAAAAAATTAATGAATGAATGAAAATTGTTAAATATAAATAAAAAAAAAATTGTTAAATATAAACTTATTGAGGTTAAAAAGTATTACTAAAGTTAATTGAAATGACTCTATTCTTTTTCAAAATAATTAGCTAATTTTTTTTTTCAATACCAATAAACATTTACAACAATAATTAATATATGATAAAATTTATTAGTTTTAGTTAGTAATATTTGATTTCTTTTTTTCTCCTACAATAGCTTTTAAAAGTATGAAATGATAATTTGTGATTAAAATAATATTTTATTATAATTGCTATATCAAATAAAACATAAATGTTATTTTATACTTTTTTTTTTTAAATGATATGCAAAATTATCATTTCATTATATTATATTATTTGAAAATAACTTAAAATTAGGAGATTAAATCTGAATTGTTTACTTTTTATGAAGTTTGCAGAGATGGAATATGTGTGAATCAGTTCATTCTTATTTATTTTTTTTATTCTGATCTAAAGTAGGTGTGGTTAGAAATTTGTAGAGGTGGGATTTGTGTTAGAGGTGGACAACAAAGGATGACATTTGCATCTTAAAATATCGGAAATGATATACTGTCAAAAGTTGAAATATACTTTTTTAGTTATAAAATTTGTGATGAATATTTTTTCTTTTTTTTTAAAAAAAAAGTTTTATATCAGAAGCAGTTATCAGTAATGTTTAGATTTGGAAAATATATTTACGATTAGAATTTGAGTTGTGATATTAATTGATATACTTATATAATTCATATAATTAATTCATATTTCATATTTTGTTAATTAACTGATATATTTATATAATTCGTGTAATTAATATTTTTTATCATGATAATTAAAAAATATGATATTTAAAAAAGTAATTATCGCAGTAGTAGTTATCAGTAATAATTACATTTTGAAAAAAAAAAAAAAATCTTTTTTTGATTGAAATTTGTTCTGTGATAATAGGGAAATTGTGATATTAAAAAGATTTATATCATTTATATCATAAGTACTTATCAGTAATGATAACATTTGTAAAATGTATTTATGATTAGAATTTGTACTGTGATATTTAAAAAGTAGGATTATATTGTACAAATTGATATGATATCGCTTTCTTTTTTTTTTCTCTACAAATAAGAAGTGTTTTCTATACCAACTAACAAATGATGTTGAATAATTCTCATTTAATTTGTTTCATTT